CACAATAATAGTCGTGACGTAATCCACTAAGCAGGCAATTTGATTTGCTTTCCATGCCCACAATATGGTATGTTTCCTGTACATGTGCTTTAAGGGTCAGAATTATTTAGTTAGTATTTTATTTTAGGATTGAGGCGCTATTGTTCACATTTAACTATTGGAGCTTTAATAAAACGAAAACAGAGCTAGTTTATTATACTTCTGTGTCATAACTATTTTTCCTTTAAAAAAAGATATGTGCTCTAAAACAGAATGTTTTTAAAAAAGACGCAGATTGTGAAGGTAAAACAACTACATGAAAAGTCAATAGTTAAATATTTACATGTTTTCTAAAATTTAAAATTTAATTTTAGCCCCTGCCTTAGTACAGTAAGAATAAGGTCGAGGCGAGAAAGAGATAGAATAGTTTGACTGGGAGTAAAACGTGCCACTAATGTGGTCAATTTATATATTTGGATTTTAGAATAGGTACCTACCTATACCTACTATCTACCTACTTTAGTTGGATGTATACTGCATACCTATTCGTACATAATTTAATAAAATATTTTAATATTCAAATTTACTCAAATATAATCGAATATTCGAATACTCGAATATATTCGAGTATTCGAATATTTGAGTATTCGAATATTCTAGTATTCGAATATTCGAATATATTCGAGTATTCGAATATTTCGAATATTCGAATAATTTTCCATTAGAATAATTCGTATTCGAATATTCGAATACTCGAATTATCGTATTCGATTCCCAGCCTTAGTTTATATAGTATTGGTTACTAAAGTGGGTCAATTAATATAATATTACTTACTAAAGATTAAGGAACAGGTATTGCAATAAAGTACTTTTTTTTAATAAATTTATGGAATGATAAAATGAATACTTATAAAAAACAGAAACAAACTTCAAAGATTTTGTTCTTTCTAAATTTCAAGGCAGTACCCAGGAGGGCCTTGGGTAAATAACCCATCACAGAATTAAAATCTATTCAAATAATTTTTGCCAAAATTAAAAATTACTTCCTATTTAGGTTTTTCGAATTTTCAACATTAATTTTGCATTATTAATTTCTTGTAATAATTTATTTTACATTTGGGTATAATTCACTTAAGTGTAGAATATGTTTCTATTGTTTATTCAACTATATAAGCAATTTTTAAATATAGATGTTCCTTGTAAATAGGAGGAATACGATCATACTTCGTAATCGGATGTACAAAACGCACACATGCATTTTGTGCCGTTTGCATATTTTTGAATTCGAAGTGTTTGGAATTAATTAAATAATGTGTTTACTACATTACATTAATTTTGTGCGTTAGAAAAATTTACAATAAAGTAAAAGTATCAGTTAAACATTTTACCTGATGTTTTCTCTTACCAACAGTTTCATTTGCGTGCGCATTTTGCCTACCGTGATGAGTAGTACTGATTTTTAATACGTATTTTGCATTTAGATATATTTTCGTGCTTAAATTATACACAGAAGAATATTATTTGTTATGGCATCTTTAGTACACATGAGTAGATAATACTTTGCTTTGGCATCCTAGCAATCACATATTTATTGCAACATCTTATACACACGAGTTAATATTTATTTGTTGTGGCATGCTTAGAACACATGAGTAGATAATACTTTGCTGTGACATCCTAGTACCCACGAATTTATTAGAACATCCTCATACACACAAGCTAAGCACTACTTGCTGTGGCCTCGATGTCACAAGAGAGGTTAATGCCTACAGCTATAACTCTTTTCAAAGCGTGTGTAAACAAACCAGACCCAATGCACATTGTTGCCAATAATTTTCTCTATTTCGCAGTATGCCCACCTTCACTGAGGCCACAAGTCAAGTTATTTCAAGGATGCGACAATTATGTATGTACCCGTATATGTGTGTGTGTGTGTGTGTGTGTGTGTGTGTGTGTGTGTGTTCATGTGTGTGCTCGTGTTCGTGTACGTTACAAAAATTCGTAAAGAATCCGGTCGTAAATAATGTTTTTGGTACTTTATTCTACAGGATCCTGCACTTGCTCGTTGGTCTTCGATAACTGGCTTTCTATTATAGTTAGAAATTTGAAATATTATTATCTTCCTGCAACTTTAAGAAGCTTGTTAATATTCAATAAACTTTTGCATCAACACCAAAAAGAATACTTTATGACATCCGGCAAATCATTAATAAATAATAAAAACAACATTGAACACAGGTTAGAACCTTGCGGCCATGAATTCGTATGAATCAATCATTTATTTTTATAAACATGTTCCTGCCAGTTAAGTACGAAGTTAATAAATGAATTATAATATTGTCAATTTCATATAATTTTGTTGAATCGAAATTTGATGATCTGTTTTATCTAAGGCTTTTGACATATCCATGTATATCACGTCTAATTGTGAATTTTTGTTAATTGCTTTTCTGCCACCTTGTAATAAAATCTTAAATTAGTTGCAGTTGAACGATGGGGCATGAAATGTTGGAAATCCTTTATTGATATTTTGATATAAAAAATTTAGTCATAACAGATAATTTCAAAAATAGAGACTGAATTTAATACAGCCGCAGGCCGGTAATTTTAAAATTCTTCTCTCCCGATCTGAAAATAAGTGTGCTTCTAGAAATTTTCCAGCAATCTGGAAAAAATACCATTCTTTAAAACCTAAATTAAATAAAAGCACCAGAGGTCCGCTAAAGCGTACATACAACCTTTTGAGGAATGTTATTCGGATCAGTTGACTTACTCGATTTTAACTTTTTTTTATATGATTTTTTAGATCATTTTACATCATGTTGTAGTCATAATATTGGCATTTACGTTATTATTGTGTAATTCAGCGTTTGCGAATGATTACTGATTATTATGATTGAAGCACTAATTGAAAGTGGTACGCAAATGCATCGGTTACTTCCATACCAGACATACAGACTTCCCAGAACTTTTTTATCATTTATAAATTCATCTCATGTGGTATGTTTATATTTTCCTCTTACTTTCTTATACCTAATATAAGGAAGTATAGTAATTGTGATTTTTTCGACCTCGAGATTTTGATTGATTTGTACGTTTTGAACCCTCCTGAATCCATTCTGACGATTTACCGAATGATGTCAGTCGATGCGTGTGTGTGCGCGCGTGTGTGCGCGTGTGCGTGCGTGTGTGCGTGCATGTGTGTGTGTGTATCCGCGATAACTCAAAAAATACTAATAGGAGACTTACCAGTTTTGACAGTTAAGATTGTCAACAAAATTTTAGGTGACACATTAAATTTGGTGAATGTGGCACCACCAGAAGAGACACAATGTATGAAAGAAGGTACAATTTCGCGAAAATAAATTAAAATTTTTTATTGCATTTCTGGACGAATCTCGACAAATTATAATGAAAAAACATAACTTTATGGAACAAAATCTGTCTGCATGTCTGTAGTATTGCAATTGTAGCCACAGTTTTTGAGATAAAGCTTTGGTACACATGTTCTAAAGGCCAAAGGCAATGATAAATTCGATGATGAGCAAAATTAACCAGCTGAAAGGAGGTCCATGGGACCCAAACTTTTTTGTATTGTCTTTACAAAATAATATATTCTTCATGATAGATTATAAATCACGTCTACTATATCAAGCCAATGAAATATATTTTTCAATTACTTAAATAAAACTGATGTATACTTAAATTTTTTATACATTTAACATTATCAAATAAGGTTAGGATAAATTTAACAGTTTGACATTTGAAATGTCTAATTTAGTTACAAAAATGTCAATGTCAATAAAAAGAAATTATCAAAATATATGACATGAATTATTATTGACAGTATCGAATGACGTTGATAATTAATTATTTAAAACTGTTAATGAAACATTTCAAGGTACGCTATTAAAATTGAGTTGAGGTAAGTGAAGAATTAAATAGAATGATCTTTTTACCTCACAATATATACTGGTATAAGAAAATTATGTGCTGGTCACATCAAATAATTTGGATTTAATGTAAGACCGAAAATAACTATACTAGTTCTAAAAAAGTGTAGTAAGGTAAAGGAATGCTCTTAATAGTAAAGCGGCACGTGCTTTGGAATACGTATATTCGTAGCGGTGACCGCATGTGCCCCAAGCTTTGTTAATAAAATATCAATTTCGGGTTTAGCATGAATATTTGTCATAAAGCTATTTACTATTTTATTCCAATATAAATTTGCTGAACATTTCCAAATCAGATATGATTTTACTCAAGTAAATTTCACACCGGCTCACTGTTGTTGGGTCAGCGCTATAAATTTCAAACCGCAATGCTCGTGAAATATTTTACTCTCAATCTAGTAGTCTATATTACATAACATAAAACAAAACCACCTACTGGGAATTACCTGATGTTATTTTTAAGCAGAGCGAGTGTATGTGTATAATTTAGAATGAAAATATAGTTGAAACAATACTATATTATGTTACTAGGAGGAGCAGGCGAACCTTACATGTTAAGCCCAGAAGTTTGCTCAGCCGAGGCGCAAGTCGAGGCTGAGCAACTGGGCGAAACATATAAATGTGCCTTCTGCTCCAAGTGACATATACTATTTTTTCTTCAAGCGTGAAAATAAAAAAATTGCGCCTTTAATTTCGAAAAATGACATCAAACATGTTCAATTTTGGCAAAAAAAATAAAATACTGGTAATACTAACCAGTTTATTTATTAATTTAGCATAACATAGTACTAACCACTTTATTTATAAATTAAACATATAAGAGTAGCATGTTTTCTTAAGAAATTTAAATAAAAATCTCCAATAATAGTAAATGAGCGATGTTTCTTGGTTTTTGTGTTGGGAATATTTACTAAGATTAAATCTCACAAATCTTCTATATCATTAACTTTTATATGAACAAGTTCATCGCATCTACAAGCTCCTGTGAGTCCAAATATTAGTACAACCTAAAAAATATACTATTTTAATTTTATAAAAGTAAAATAAAGTTAGAAAGAGCAAAAAAAAAGTTAAAAGTACATGATTCGAACACGGGCCTTCAAATTACGAGTCCAACACTCTGACCACTGCGCTATATCCGGACTTAATCAAAGCATTCAATTCTTTTTAGCTATTATTTACATAGCGGATGGATATAAAATAACTGGAATTTCACAAATTATAACAAAACTTTATATTACAGATATGAAAGGGCTAAATACATAATTTTAAAATGCGTACATACCTTCGTTGCTAAACATTTATCATTAGGTGCTTTATTAAGGAATTCATCAAACTCTTCTTTACACAAAACTTTTGACTCTTTAGGTTTATAATTTTCGCCTTGTCGCTTTAAAAAGGCAATAAATTTAGAATAGTTGTCAATTTTTACATTGTGTTCGATGTTTAATTTAGATTTTACCATTGAATATTACGCCCATAGAGTTGAACTTTTCAGTTTTTTGGATAAATGTGTAAAATATGCTATCATCACATTTTCCGAATACATATGTATGTTGTCCTTGGCCCATTTTATAAATTTATCGTACGCATTATCGTAAACTTTTTTGGATTTCGCGAGAATTAAAGTTTTCACTGATGAATTTGCAATTTCAAGTAATTCAGGTGGTGTGCACTGCATTTCTTCAGACATTTTTGCTTTTAAATTTGAAAACCGACCCGACGTGAAATTTAAAACTGACAGTTATGTCAAGTCATAGCTACATGGATTTCTAATTCGTTGTATGATAAGTACAGTGCTGTGCAAAACTAAGTAGGACAGCACTTATTACTGTACCTATAGGAGTTAAAAAGCGAGATAAGAAGAAAGGAGTATTAAAAGAAGGCCTTTAACTGGGAGACGGAGGATAAATGATGGTTGAATACGATCAGCAATTAGTAAATTATCTGCGTGGAAAAGTGGATACATTTATATTACATATATATTACACCACTACTGTCACTCTCCTACTTACTTTTGCACAGCAGTGTACATTGTTTCATTTTTGTCCTAGGAAAAAAATTAAAAATATTTGTATTAGTACAAAAATAGGCTCTTTCTCCAGGACGTGTTGCAATATATAATGTAAGTATTGTCATACGCTTGAAGAAAAAATTATTATTCTATTTTCGTAAAAAAACTGGAGTTCCATAAAATCTTTGAATATGATGGTAACCGAATTCAGTTAAATAAGTAAATAATTTTTTTCTACTCCTGTTAACCCAGATAACCATCAACATCCAATGGATATCCATTTTGTATCCATTAAGTGTCCCTACATCCAGGGACATTAAATGGATATCCAGTGGATATCAAATTCTTGATCCAATGGATATAGATTTACCTGCAGTACAAAGAATATCCATTTTGTGTCCATTAAAGTGTCCCGATGTCAGAGGAATTTAAATGGATATCCATTGGACTGCAAGTAAATGGATATGCATTGGACATCAAGGAGTTGATATCCACTGGCTGTCCAGTTTGAGTCCAAAATTTTTATATGTTTTCATGCAAATTATGCCCCTTGCGTATCGTACGTAATTGCAAATGCATAACAACCTTTCTTATTTGTTAACCAACTAATAAAGTTTAACACGTTGAAGCGATTTTGAATGTATTTTATATTATATTCATTATTTAATCCGAATATAAACAAGAATTTTAATGGTATAGCATAAAATTTGCACCTTTTTTTCAAGACTTGCAAATGTGTTTCATTTAAACCTTGGCGCCATTTGGACGAAGTTGTTCACCACACATTCGACCACTCTCTCGATTTTGAAAGATGCATTGTCGCTTGATTCTAGTCTAGCGATACGACACATTGCTTGCTCTTTTCATTTAATAAATAGAGAAAGGATGAAGTGGTATGCTTACGTCTTTTATCTATCAACCGGCCATGATTTGACTTTTACGCAGGCGTTGCGTTATTTCAGTTAGTACACGCCGTCTGCCGCAGCCATTTTTATTATTTTAAAGATTTTCAGGATTTTGTTTGTTGAGGCTGGTGGTTGTGAGTTTTTTATTTGTTCTATGAATTGTTCTTGGTTGTATACAGTTGTGAAGGTGAAAAGTAATTAGATACCTATTGCTATTGTGGAAGCGTATTACTGTAAGTACCTACTAATGTTTTTTCGTGATTTATTACACAATATGAAATAAACAGTTCTATATAACTCAAATCAAACTTTACAAGAGACACAAAAAACTGAATATCTTAATTGTTCAATTCATGGACCGAAACTAACCTCATTCTGCTACAGGTGTTCTGTGTAAAATGACCGTTAACGTGGGAATATTATTAAGTTTTGCATATTTCATTGTGTGGAGTTATCTAGTTTACATGAGAACGGTTTAGTGGATTTAGAAATAATTTGACATTTTGGAGATATTTGATTGAGCTATATTCGTTTTAGAAATTTTATTTACTGTTCTGTTGCGTCAATTCTTGTGCTGATTTTCGTGCACATGTTATTGGAGCATTGTCTATAGTTGCGGCACAGTTGCGACAAATCAAATTTTTAAAACGATGAATATACCTATGATTTTCTGAAAATTGCCAGCTGCCATGGCTATAATTAATATTTTACCTAACACTAAAAGTAGAATAACACTATTTTTTTGCTAATAGTTTTCTTAATTTAACTTTCGTCTGATGTCAAAATGTAATTTACACCACTTTTCCTATTTAAAAATAGAAGAAAACAAAGATGACAGTTTTCCCATTAAAAAGAAAATAAAGCTGCGAGAGTTTCTGAATGTAATACCTATATATCTGTTATTTTTTTAGAAATAACCACCAAATTCTAAACAAAGAAGGGCAGAGAAGAAGACTTTCATAGAGCCGTGTAAGTATGATATAAATTTATTTAAGTGCTATGTGCTCCAAACGATCGATTTGTATGTTTTGTATTTTTTACATTTCTCTCGTGTCAACGAGATTTCTATATATCCATCTTTCTCTGGTAGCCCCGTCTTAGATTAGAAATTTTTTCATTAGTTCTCTAGTACCTAAAATATTTGTAAATTTTTACAGCAGTTGGAGAATTTATTTTAAAATATTAATAAACTAGTGTAAATATTTAAAAATTAAAAAATATGTCCCTACTTTATCTTTCTTATATAGTACTTTTGTTTTATATTGTTTTTTAAGCTGTTTCGATGCTAGATTTTGCTGGCGGACATAAATTAATGATCAAAAAATAACTAAATTTTATATAGCCCGCTTGACTACTTCTTTACGGATAATAACAGCTGTTTTGTACAAGGAACTTCATTTTGGAATGTATTTTTTAGATGCAGCTCACAAGACACAAACTACAAACAATAAAGAAATTGAAACAAATTTAAGGAAGTGGCTGCGTCGGGCCAAGGAGAGGAAGTAGGCAGAAATGTAGAAGGAAGCAGTGTGGAGGCAAATAAAGGACGTAATAGTTTTGTCTGGTGTTATTACTTTTTAAATAAAACATTTTTTTTTAATTTTTACCCCGTGTAATTTTTCTGTGAAAACCATTTTTACCTTTAATTCATACTTTGATAAAGGATGTCCCGAAATTAGCTTGCAATATTTTACCAGTATCTTCTACAAGCAAAAATAAGAAAAAAGTTTCTATAAACATAGGTCCAAAATTGCTTCCAACGGGAGCCACAGAACCCTAAAAAAATATTTTTAGGGGCTCTAAGGGAGCTGTGGCTCCCTTCGGAAGCATTTTTGACCTATGTTTATAGAAACTTTTTTCATATTTTTGGTCGTTGAAGACGCTGGTAAAATATTGTACACTAATTTCGGCATACACCCCGTATATGGACATGTTTTGGATGTCCAATGGACACGAACTGAATGCACTCTGGATATCCAGATTGATTTGTACTGTCATGATTTTATGGACTCGGATTGGGCCTCTTTTGGATGTCCAAAATTGTGTCCAGAGTTGTGACAAAGTGGCACCCGATGGATATCCAGTGGACTGAATTTGAATGCAATTTGGATGTCCATTGTACATCCTAGTTTTTATAGTGATTCATCCACTGGATGTCCATTGGATGTTTACTGGACTAAGTTGTGCTATTTGGGAAATTATACGTTCATTATGTGTGCGTTTTTGATAGACAATGCGTTACATTACTCATGGATGCAAGAAATAATTCATTAATCATGGGTTATGGTAAATCGCGCAGATATAGCATCATCGAGAATACTATGACGCATCGTAATATAATAAATGTCATAAAATTATTTTCAAATGTCATAATCTGTTGTCACCGTAGTATAAAATTATTCAATCCGTTAAAGAAATTGCAAGTACTTATACATAAAAATCATTAACTAGATATGAAAATATTAATTCAAAACACGTTTTAAAAATTGTTCCAACATTACTATCAATTTTATTACTAAGTGTGATAAATAAAAAATAAAATTATCCAAACTAGTAATAATTATTTTCATCAAACTTATCTAGATCTAAGTGTAACTTCCTATTAAATAGACGTAGAAAAAGTATAGCATCATCATTACACGCTCACTGAATAATAATATTTGTCGTTTACATAAACAAATAGTTATAGTTTTGACTAGCAAAAAAATAGGGACAAAACGTCACTATTTTTTGTCATTTATTGGGTGGATATTGCATGGAGCAATTGTATCTGCTACACAAAACAATACAGAATATTTAAACCAAATTTCCCAGGGTTATTAGAATTTAGATTGCAGAGATTTTGATATAATTGTTGATTATTTCTTTCGTACTGATATTAATCAATCAGAAAGTTGGATTTAGTTACCTTTTATAATTTCGATAATACGAAATAGATTATACTAAAATAAATTCACTAGGTAACGCAATAAACAATTCTTTTGTCTTAACTTATTTGACAATGATATGCCATCCTTTCAATGGTAACGAATATCAGTTGTCAGTACAAACAAAGCGAGCTGTCAATTTTGTAATTTAGTATTTACATAGCTTTGTGATACTTTTAATTGTTTTTGAGTTAATAAAATATTTATTTGTTTCTATTTTTGAAATTTACGTAAAAAAAAACCGCTGCCAATTATTATTTTTTTTAAAAAAAGTAATTTTTTGAAGTTACAAAA